AGAATTTATTAGTAAGTTTATAATTATCTACTTAGATAATATTATTATCTACTTATAGATTAAAGAAGAATATAAACGCTATCTTAAATAGATATTTAAGATACTATATAACTATAAACTATATATAAAGCTATCGAAGTATATTATTAGCGTCTAATAGCTTAAATTCTATAAATATATAGTAAATAATAGAGAGTATTAATCTACGTTTATAAAGATATAAGCTATTCTTAAATAGTCTTAATCTTAAAACGTATATAAAGTATATTAGTTTTTAGATTTAGCTTCCTACTATCGAAGATTTATCTAAAACTTTATAAAGATTACTATATCTCTATTTAATTTATTAATCGAGATAGATATTAAGCTTTAAAAAAAGAAGTTTCGATCTATTTAATAGAATACGAGATACGAGTACGTCTTTTAAGTACTTAAGAAGACTCTCGCTACTAAACTAGTTTTATAATAAGTTAATAAATTAAAGTCTTTTCGCGTAGAAATAGACTACTTTAAGTAGGCTTTAGGTTATATTCTTCTATAAGAAGAACTCGATAGAAAATAGTATCTAGTCGCTTATGACGGGCGAAAACTTAATAGAGTCGAGCTAAACTATTCTATATATAAAAAGAAGCTTTTCGCTATTAAGTACGCTCTCTAAATCTAGATTATATATCTCTAGAATAGCTATAAGATAGTTATTATAATCGATTATAAAAGTCTAAAATACCTAAATACTACTTAGACGCCTTCGAAGTATCTTACGTAATAAATTAATAAGTTTTCTAAGTTCGATTTAGATATTTAATACTATAAAGACTTCGAAGCTATTATCTTTAATACTATTTCTAGACGACTCGATTTCCTAGAAAAGAGCTTTACTAATAAAGTATAGATCTCTAGCGGTATAGAAGTATCTCTAAATATCTAATAAATAGTATATTTCAACGACGATATAGAATAGAAAGATACTATTATAACTTAATTAACTATAAAGAATAAATCCGACTTAAGTCTAGCCTAGAAAGAGTAGCTAGCGCGTATTAAGGATCTAGATTAATACTTCGTAGAAGAAGACCGTCTATTTCGAAAAATTAGTAATTACTTCGCTCTCTTTATCTCTATATCGTTTTATTAAAACTTTATTAAGTATTATTATAAGTACTACGAATACTATAGCGTAGCTACTATAGAAAGTATTATTAAGATATATAGATAGTAGCTATCTATAATAAAGAATATTTTTATATATACTCGAATTTATAACTAATACTAGTTAGTCTAGAGATAGAAGAAGAACTAGGAAGAACTATATTTATAGATTAGATAAATCTCCTAACTCTTCGAGAAGTAGATAATTAACTTCGTTAGCTTATTATTAACTATACTCTATAGAAATCGATAGATTCTAACGACTATTAACTTCTCTATAGGCTAGTTAATAGTAAAGACTATAAAGAATACTATAGATAAAGTAGTTATCGACTTTCTATTCGAAATCTACTACTAGTATAGAGTATTTTAAGAATTATTATTAAATAATAGCGCTAATCTAATCTCGAAGATTATCGAGTACTATCTTAATCGCGTTAAGATAAAATATTATATAATAATCTCTTATTATTTTTAGATTAATAGAAAAATAGAAAGATTTAATAGAATATTAGGCGAGATTTTAATAAAGTAACTTATTA